GGGACTCAAGAGGGATTGATAGGGGTTGTGATCTGGCTATGGTAAAATTAATTTTATTCTCTCTGTTTACGGGAATGCTAGCGTCCGTAGACCGAAAAAATGTAGGAATTCAGGCGTTATGAGTCAGGAAAGCTGTTCGTGATGTCTGTGGAAAATCAGGAAATTTTGACTAATGACGGAATTTTTTCGGTAAAAGCAAGAAAATTATAGAAAACTCTGAAAAATGTGCCTTTTTTAGGCAGGTATCTCCCTTTGCCAAGCCAAGAAAAATCGAAGGAAATCTGACATGAGGAATCGGGGGTTTGAGTGGTGAAAGTCAGGGTGTCTATTTTTTCGGAAAATCCGGAAAGTCTGGAAATAGTACTGTTTTTTGAGGGCGGTCCAGAAGTATTAAAATATTACGGAAATTCCCTATAAGGGTCCGGAATTCTTTGCCTCATGCTACGTGCGTTTTTAGAACACGCGGAAACAACGTCAACTCGGGTCGGTGATCCCATGAATATACGCTCAGACACAACGGCACGGGTTGGCCAAGTGTTCACTTTTCCTCAGCACCAGACCAGAAAATGACCGTACCTGCGATCTGTGACCGTTATGTCAACGGAAAAAGCTTTTTAACGTCCGCCAAAAAGTGAACTTGTTGGCTCTTACACCGTTCCCGACGGATAGGTACGCAATGGTTTTCTCATTAGGTCCATAACAACAAGAAGGTTATTTTTCATGAAACTGTTGTATATTTAATACTTATTTTAGTATGTTGACACCATGCAACGTTACCGTCTGGATTATAACTTTTGTTTGAAGCTTTTAACGTGATTATGGAACTTCCAAACCCCTATAATTAAATGGCTGTATCATGGCGCTGTGGTGATTTTCTCAAGCGTGTTCAGTGACCGCATATTGTTAGATTAAATGTACACATTTTTTAGTTTCGATAATCATGTATTTTTCCCCGATAGTTTATCGGATTTTGGCCACATATATTTGAAGAAAATCGAGGAATTCAGGTATAATTATATTGAAGGATTTTTTTAGCACATTTCGAGAAATTAAGGGATTTTCCTCTTCCGTTTGTTTCAAAAAGGCCTTCACTTGATTTATTAGGAATTCCGTTCGTTTTAAAATGAATTTTTTTGCCAAAAATATGAGTTCTATAAAACTCAAATCGAGATTTTCCTCCGTACAGCCTATCCAGTAACTTTATTGACTGACGATATACCAGCGTATGCCGACGATTAAACTGAAAAACACGGTTCGTGATACTACAGATTTAGCATTAACTCCCAGCCCAATGTCATCATTTCTCAAAAAAACTCCTTACTTTTTATCTCCACGTGAAGAATATCCTGTAAAAATGTCAAGCAATGGTGTTCCTTGGTAAAAATTGGCGATAAGAGCTGCGGTTCAAAATACCGTAGGAATTCTTATAGCCGGCTAAAGAAGGCTACAGAAAATCATATAGCTGGCTGTAGAATGCGGAGAAAATCATACGGCCGGGCTATATGAAGCGATAAAAAATTATGCAGCCGGGCTGTAGTTCCTATCGCCGGGCTTTACACTTTATCGCCTGGCTGTTGCTTTTTCGCCATCGATTATAAAAGGCTACAAGAAATTGTGTAGAAATTCGTGTGCTTTGGAAATCATTAAGTTTGATACGGAACCACCTTAATATTTACAAAACACACATTATATTTTCCTTTAATACATATTTTTTTCATTAGTTAAAATGAGAATAATCCATACAGGATGTGCGAACATTTCAAAATTATGAGTTGAATAACGCTGACTCCGTCAGATTAAATATTAGAGCCTAACACAAAGCGGAGCGGCGACGCACTGGCGCCTACAAACCTAACAGGGATACTTCACGCATTGCGCAACGCGTGAAGTATCCTTGTTAGGTTTGTAGGCGCCAATGCGTGTTTCGCGCTGGCTGCCCGCCTGCCACGGCGCTTGAAGCAACTATTTCACACCAGAGGTATTGCACAGAATCATACGAAACTGAAGGCGCTCTAATATATTAGTAATGGCAGCATCCATCAAAAGTACGGAGCTTTCCTCGCAAAATAAATCAAGATACTACGGCCCAAAAAGAGAGCAGTATTCTATTCCAAAAACTCACTAAGTCCTAGCATCCGTAATTAGTAACGTTTAGCATACACGTCATCGCCATCGGCTATAAAAGGCTATAAGAAATTGTGTAGCCGGCTATAGAAGCCATTGGGAATCTTACAGCCGGCTGTAGGTCCATGGTATTTTGGAACATAGATTCTACTGCCAATTTTTACCAGGGTTGGTAGATTCCTCTTAGATCAAATAAAATGAGAGTAGAAATACCGCGAACAATATACGCGTTTTTGCATTTTAAGGTCGCCATGTTGTGCGATAAATTTTGAATATATTCACCTGTGTTTAAATGTGGAAAATCAATATCTGGCAACGATGTTGCAGTTTCACCGTCCATACTGCCGTGCTAAGGAAAAACGCCGTATGAACCTTCAGGCGTTGCAAAATTTCCATTGATAAAACGCGAAATTCCTGGTAAACTTAAGAACTTTCAATAATAAAGACAAAGATAACTAATTTAATCATGTTATTAGTGTAATTGACATACTTTAGTTTAGTTACTTGTCTTTTAACTGTATAGTTAAAGATTATATTTGTTTGTATTATGATATTATTTTTTCGAAATTTTTCAAATAATTTTGTTCGCAATTTCACCTAATGATTCTGAAACTGTAAAGGAAAACCATTCATAACTTCCCTCAAAGATTAACATTTTATCGAAGTAAATTTGGCAACTCTCGAATGTTCATACGGCATTTTTTCTTAGCACGGCAGCATACTACCGTACTAAGGAGGAACGTTGTATGAACATTCGAGAGTTGCCAAATTTCCCTTGATAAAACGTGTATTTTAGACGACATTCATGCACATTTTCCTTTAAAATTTTCAGATATATTAGATTCAATTACGTACGAAATCGTCTGAAAATTTTGGAAAAAAATATTCACAATTTTTTTTGTAAATTCGATATTTATCGAAGGAAACTTGGCAACGTCGGAAGGCTCATACGGCGTTCTTCCTTGGCACGGCCGCATAGTTGGACAACATTTTGCAATTTGGAACTATAAAGTCTGGTCCGGTTTAAAAACAACGTATGTGCCATTAGTTTCCCTATGCACATACGTGTTTTTTTCAGGTAAGCCAGAATTCATAGTTCCAAATTGCAAAATGCAGTTCAGTTGTCAGAAAGCGTCACCTTCAACAACCTTTCTCCTCTTTTTTCAGGATGGCTGAAAAGTCTGCTCCCGAAGAACTCCCTCATCACGGAGGAGGAAGCGTGGAATGCGTACCCGTACACGAAGACGCGCTTCAGCTGCCCGTTCCTAGAAAAATTCTCAGTAGAAATAGAAACTACTTATTTGAACGACAACGGTTACCAGGATAATGTGTTCAATTTATCGGGCAGTGATCTCCGGAATAGGGAAGTTGGTGAGTTTCCATTTATCATTCACTTTTTACCGCTTCACCTGGAATGAAAGCGAGCTTTCAGTGTTTAAGAAAACCAAAACGCCTTCATTTTCGAAGTATGCAACACGGACGTCCGTAGAGTTTGAATAGTTGCATCCAGGCATTTTTCACATCCTTATATTTTTTTCAATATTGCTTCATCTGGGAGTGCTTAATGAGCTGATTCCGAAGTATTTTTTTATCATTTTTCTAATCTGAGGAATAGTATAAAGATAGATTTAAAAGTGAGAAAACGCACCGCCTTGTGACGTCCGTTGGCGGCATTTCCCATTTAAACACGTGCTTTTGAGCAGATTCGGTTATTTTGTTACATTTCCTCCAATACACGGAAAAGAAGCACGAGGTTGTTGGGTGATATGGACATCTCCAATTAATTGTGGTAGTACCCCGATTAATTATGGTAGCACTCAAATTAATTATGGTAGTACCCCAATTAATTATGGCAGTACCCCGATGAATTAGGTAACCAACCCAAATGTTGCGGTACTATTCTAACTCGAGTTGCGGTACTACCACAATCAATTAAAAATGTCCATATCATCCAACAAATTGGGGTTGTGCCACAATTTTAGGGGATAACCCCTGACACTCTTTTTCCCGTGTAATTGCTCAATCTATGAACTAGGATATCCTCGTGTTCAGTTTACTCCGGAGTTTCCTATTAAGCACGAAATTCATCAAAGAGCCGTATGCAAAAACGACATTTTTCGCCCCCCCACTAAAACTTATTCAAACTTCGTCTATCAGTTACTAATATTGGAGCGCTTCTTTCCCCAAATTTTCAGACCCCCAAAAAATTTTGGGGGGGCGCTAGGGGGGGTGGAAGACAAAACCTGTGACCCTCGATATCTTCCGAACGAAACAAGATATTGAGGCCCGGTTTGGACGAAAAATCGTCTAAAATTGC